TCCAGGTGAATGGAGATCAAGTGTTGTACGTTGGACGGCTGCTTGCAAGCTTTAAAGACACCAAGCACTACACAACGAACTAGGAGGTAGAAAAGAAGCAGTAAACATGTTATTAGGCCAATTACCTGGGATAGCCCATGAAACCATGACCCTAAACCTCCAACCAAGGTGTTTGGTTGTACATAGCAATTTTAGCAGCTACTCCTTTTTTTGTGTGTGTGTTGCTGTCATTGTTGTAAATATATGTTATCTTTTGCCAATTCAACTTTTTCAGGTTGAAAAACTTACTGAAAGCAATTACAATAATCCACCATGCAACCCCAGCCTTAACCAATGTGATTTTTCCATCACCAATAACCCCTCTTTCCCCCACTCTCTAAACTTTGGTCTTTATACCCTTGCCTTTTCTTGTCTTGTTATATAAGAAGTGAGGTCATATAATATTTGTCCTTTTGTTATTGATTTATTTTGCTCAGCATAATGTCTTCTAGCTCCACTGTAGCGTGTATTAAGACTCCAATTCTCCTGCTGGCTGAGCAGTATTCCATTGTATGTATATACCACATTTTATTTATTCATTCATCTGTTGATAGGAATTTAGGTTGTTTCCACCTTTTGGCTATTGTGAATAGTGCTGCAATGAACATTGGTTTACAAGTCTCTTTTTGAGTCTCTGATTTTATGTCTTATCAGTATACACCTAGGAGTGGAGTTGTTGGGTCATACAGTAGTTTTATTTTTAGTTTTTCAAGGAACCACCACAGCGGCTGTACCTTTTTGCATTCTTATCAGCAAATGGTTGCAATTTTCCCACATTTGTTATTTATTTATTTAGCCATCATCATACCGGGGGGGGGGAAGCAAACTCATGCCATCGAGTCAATTCCAACTCATAGGAACCCTTTTTGGGTTTCCAAGGTGGTAAATCTTTACAGAAGTGGATTGCTGAGTCTTCCTTCCGTGGAGTGGCTGGTGGGTTTGAACCACCAACTTTCTGGTTAGCAGTCAAAGACCTTAGGCACCTACACCACCAAAGCTTCTTTAGCCATCCTACTGGGAGTGTAATAGTATCTCATTGTGATTGTGACTTGCATCTCTCTGATGGTTAATGACACTGAGCATCTTTTTATGTATTTGGTGGCCATTTGAATGTCCTCTTTGGTGAAATGTATGTAGAAGTCCTTTGCCTATTTTATTATTGGGTTATTTGTCTTTTTGCTGTTAACTTGTCAAAGTTTTCTGTATATTTTGCTTATTAGAGTCTTGTCAGATATATGGTTTCTGAAGATATTTTCCCAGTTGGTAGCTTGTCTGGTTACTTTTTTGGTAAAATCTTTTGGAACAAAAGTTTCCATTTTTATGAGGTCCCAATTATGTATTTTGTCTTTTGCTGTTTGTGCTTTTGTTATTGTATCAGCTAATTCTTTGTGGAAAGCCAGGCCTGATAGTATTGCACCTGCTTACTCTTGGACATTTGGATCTTCAAATGCAAAATAATGAACCTGGACCCATACCTCACACCATATATGAAACTTAATTCAAAATGGAATCCATGACCTAAATTAAGAACTAAAACAATAAAATTCTTAGAAGAAAATATAGTGGTAATGCTTCGGGATCTAATTTTTGGCAATAGATTCTTAGATATGACACTAAAAGCATGAGCAACTAAAACGAAATAGACAACTTTGACTTCACCAAAATTAAAAAACCTCTGTGCATCACAGGACCTTATCAACAAACTGAAGGCACAACCTATAGACTGGGAGAAAATATTTGGGAATCGTATATCAGATAAGTTTTTAATTTCCAGAATATACTAAGATCTCCTTAAACTTAGCAACAAAAAGACAAAAACCCAATTAAAAAGTGATCAAAGGACTGGAATAGACATTTCACCAAAAAAGATATAGAAATGACCAACAAGCATATAAAAAGATGTTCAATGTCATTTGTCATTAGGGAATTTTGAATTAAAATTACCATGAGATACCATTTCACTCCCACTAGGGGGGCAATGATCAGAAAAACAGAAAACAACAAGTGCTGATAAGGATACGGAGAAATTGGATCTCTCATCCATTGCTGATGGAATTGTGAAATGGTGCAGCCCCTGCAAAAAGCAGTTTGGCAGTTCTGCAAAATAGTTAAACATAGAATTACCATATGATCCAGCAATTCCATTTCTATGTGTATACCCAAAACAATTGAAAGCAGGAGCACAAACAGATACTTGGACACCAATGTTCATTGAAGCATTGTTCACAACAGCCAAAAAATGAAATAGTCTAAATGTCCATCAACAGATGCATGGAAAAATAAAACATGGAACTTACATACAAGAGAATATTACTCAGCCATAAAGAGTATGAATAAACCTTGAAAACATTATACTGAGTGAAATAAGTCAGTCACAAAAAGACAAACATTGTATGATCCCACTTATATGAAATACTTAGAATAGGCAAAAGTGGAAGAAGGAGCCATTTCGTAGAGCACTGAGTTTTTGTTAAGGGTGATGAAAAATTTTGGAAACGGATAGCGGTGATGGTCGCACAGCATGATGTGAGTAACTAATGTCACTAAACTGTACATGCAAAGAAAGTTAAAATGGCAAATACTTTGTTAGATATATTTTTACCACAATAAAAAACCCCACACGTTTATGAAGACATATTTTAAGTATAAGAGAAATCCTCCTCTTCCATGAACACTCCCCAAAAAACCCAAATCAAAACAAAAGGGAACCTCTCAATTTGACACTGTTGGAAATAAATTGGATATTGATTCCTTACACTGAATAATGACAATAAGTAGAATTAAACATTTTTAGATTTCCCTGGATGAAATGTATTTCAGAAATCAAAGAGTCTTAGCTCGTGAATTAAACTTCTTTTCTCCAAACGTATGCTAGCTAATCAAAAGACTAGATAGGCACCTTAGGGGACAGTGAGTTTATGTTAAGTGGAGGAACAACTCAGAAAAGGGGAGTGAGAGTGGTTGTAAAACTCAAACAGTGTGATAATCAAGGTCACTGAATTCTACCTGTAGAAATGGGTGAATTGACTATGTTTTGCTTTGTATATTCTCAACAAAAATAAAGATTTTATAAAAGTATTCTAGCTAGTAAGTGTGGAAGAATGACAAACAAACAAACAAACAAACAAACAAACAAAACCCAGAAAAACCCTTACTGCCATCAAGTCGATTCTGACTCATAGCAACCCTCATTGAGTTTTCGAGGCTGTAAATCTTTGTGGAAGTAGATCACCCCATCTTTCTCCCATGGAGCAGCTTGGTGGGTTATGAACTGCTGACCTTCTGGTTAGCAGCCAAAAGCCTTATCCACTATGCCATCAGAGCTTCTTAGGAGGAAATGATAGATTTAGAAAATAACTATTTTGCAATGCTTAATTGAATCATTGATTTGGGCACTAATCACCAATGGATGAAACCATTAGATGAAAGGCTGACAGGAAAATTTAGGCTGGAGGGGACAGGCAGTCACCCACTGAATCAACTGATCAGTCTACTCATCACTAAAATATGGGATAATCAGACACTGTATGGCTCTTGATTTGATATAATATGAAGCACACAATCTTATGAAGGTTTTTTGCCAAAATGTTGACCCTGAATCCAATTAAGTTTTTAGAAATAACTTTCATTTATATGTAATACAGGGACTAGAGGAAAACGTCAAATAAAATAGAGACATCCAGAAAGTGTGCCTTTCCCTGAAACAATGACCAGCTTCTTCGAAAAGTTAATGGCAGTGGGTAAAGAATGGGGATGGACTTTAGAGTTAGAGCCTTAAGAGAGAGCCAACCAAATGCAATGTGTAGATCTTGTTTAAATCCTGATTTTAACAAAACAACTATAAAAAAGACATTTTGGAGACAACAGGAGAACTCTGATTACAAAGATAATACCAAGGCATTGTTAATTCTCTGTAGGTGTTATAATAGTATTGTAGTTTTATAAAAAGTATTAATAAATGTTGAATATGGGTGGCAAGAATATGGAATTTCACTGTACTATTCTCTCTACTTTTACGTAAGTTTGAAATATTGTAATGTTTTTTTTTTTTCAAGCAATATAAGAGGCTACATTGCAAAAATCTAAATATACAGCCATGAGACTGATTCTGGAAGTGGACCGTCAGGCCCTTCTTCCTAGTCTGTCTTAGTCTGGAACCTCTGCTGAAACCTGCCCATGTGGGTGACCTCGCTGGTATTTGAAATATTGGTGGCATAGTTTCCAGCCTCACAGCAACACACAAGCCACCACAGTACAACAAACCGACAGAAGGAGAGTCTGTTAAAATACAGATGCCCCTGGGCTCATAGTCCTTGAAAGACTTGCCGTGTTCTTATTTTTCCATCAAGTTAGTAACATAGTCATTCTAGAATTTCTCTGTGGCGAACATTGGCTGTGTTTGGGGGGTTATATTTGGCCTCAAAATGAAGGGCCAGCTGTATGCTTGGAGCCCCAGCAAGAGGAGATGTTGGCGGAGGGGCTGACTGCCCTGAAGTGACTCAGCACCGGGAGAGCAGGGCAGGTCCCTTTTCTATCTGAG